TTAAAAAAAATATTATTCCAACAATTAAAATTTAAAATAATGGGGGCCAAACGAGGGCTAAATGTAATTACGCTAAGCTAATTTGTTGGTGATGCAGGGTAGTAGTTTGTTAACGAACAAGATAAAGGGGGAAAGAAGAGAAGAAATTTGGGTATAGAAGAATTTTTTTATTTTTATGTTCCAAGATTGAATATTATAATAAATAAGCTCTCTACTTGTAGAGCAAAATAAATTGAAGGAATCTAAAATCAAACTACATTCTTACAAACAGGAAATTATAATATTATTAAATATAATTGAATATCATTTAAATAATCAAGAATTAAAATAAACTCTTATTTAAATTCGTGTCTAAACTATATCTCAAACATTATCTATTTGTATCTGGTTTATCAAATAACTTGCAAGTTTTGACTAGCTCTCTTGTAGTTCGATTTAATATGTTCAACTAGCCCGAATAGTTATTTGGTTTATCGATTTACCCGATCAATTTTTAAAACCATGCCCCTAACTATGTCACGTTTTTTTTCCATTAAAAAGAATTACTTATTCTCTAAAAAATAAAATACATTAAACTTATGTTTAACCTTTATTTTTCACAAATTTATTTTCAAACACACATATCGAATTCACAATTTATATTAATTTTTCAATTACATATGTCACCAACTTTATCCAAATCGAATAGGGGCTAAATTTTCAGTTATGCTATTATCAATGTTCCAATATATGATTATACTTTCAATAAAAGATTGGATGCAATCATTTAAATAATTGTTGGATGCATAATCATACATGCAATCAATGAGTTTACTTGTATTTGTATAAATTAACATTTGCAGTTTGGTAGAACAATTATTAATAAAAAAGAGAAAAGAAAGTAATTATCAAATTTTAAAACACATACTCATTATTTCAAACCAGTGTTCAAGGCGCGCCTAAGCGCAATGCTCGACGGAAACACCAAGTCAAGTGGTTAATGTGCGCATTAATATATATTTTTTATTTTTCTACAATTCTTTTAGTTTAAAATTTAAATGCTGATTTCTTTACTTCGTTTACCCTAAATTCAAAACAACCGCTTGAAGCTTTGAATAAAGGAAAACTTCCAACAATTTCTATCTATTTATTATTTAGTATTTACATTCGAAACTTATCATTTTGTTGGAAACTTTGAAAAAATGTATAAAGTTTCAATAAATCTATTTTGGATGTTAGATAGGTATTATTTTTAATTATTAAATAATTTTTTGATTGATTAAAATTAAAAATAAAATTAAAATAAGAAAATGCCTTTTTACGTTTATGTCTTACCTAAACTTGTCTAGCTTATAGCTTGACTTTCACGTATCGTTACGCATTCGCCTTTAGAACACTATTTCAAACTATATGCTATTGCATAAATAAAATAATTTTATTTTATCTAAATTGACAAAAAATTTGTTCAACCTAATAGGCTAATACCCAGCTACGCCGCACCATGATTGATAACATATAGCACCGAAGCTGGACCAGAGTGATCCCACAAAGTACAAACTGTAAAGCTACTGGAACAAGTCCCCAGTATGTTCACATGCGATAACCTGTTATTATAGTACAAAAGGCTGCATTTTTCTTCTTCTAGGAATTCTAAAGAGCCAATTAAAATTTGAAACGTGGAATACTTGTACCTTCACATGCGGGGTGGGACATGCAAAACAAGGTGTACCTGATGTACCTTTTTTAATACTGATGCACTGGAGAGAGTGAACGCTGCAGGAAAATTTGTTAAATTCGTGTATAGGGTTGTTCTTTCTTTTGGGGTCCTTTGGTCCAATCAACTATTAAGTGTATTCAATACGAACAAACTTTTGTTCTTTAATTTATTAGGACACATTTCGTGATTTATCTCTCTCACGATGTTTCAGGAATAGTGCGATAGGACCCTCAAAGTTGAAGTTCAACATTTTTTAACTATTAGTTGTATTTAATGTTTTAAAAAGCTCGCATAGTCTGCACTGCCTGGACTTGGACTCAAGCAAAACGTCTCGTTTTGCGTTTAGGCACTTTTTTTTTATATTCGTAAATGGTTGAATTTTTTTTCTTCATTTCTTTTGTCTTCTGTAAATGCGTTTTATTATTATTATTATTTTTTTAAAAGTCTTTTATTTGATTTTAGTTTATTATTATTATTATTATCTTTTTTTT